AACCACTAGATCATTCCTCTTATGTTCTATTTCTCATAATTCCACAGTGAATGCATTTTTATCATTTATAAGACTATGATAAGCATCAATTAAAATATTTGCCAAAGATATAAGCTTTTTCTGATAGTAGGACTTCAAATTTCTTTGAACGTCCAGAAAGTTTACCTCATCATCATCACCTTCATCATCGTCCGATTTTGTCATCAAGGCAAAGATAAAGTCATATTCAGTTGCTTCACTCTTTACTGCCATTATGAAGCTGTCACCTTGTTCATCATCCTCTCCAGATTTGCTGGACGAGTCTCCCCATGCAGCAAGAGCTTGCTTCACAACATTTTCAGCGTCATCGTTTCTCTTGAATCGTTTGTCAGGAACCGGGTTCCTCTTGACTGCTTTGTCTGTGTTGTGTTTGTGTTGATCTTGCTTGAGGAGGGGGCAATCCTTGATGAAATTTCCTGGCTTCCCACACTTATGACATAGGTCATAGCCTCTTGGCTTGCTAGAGCTTCCCCCTTTTGGAATACCTCCATTTCTGCAAACCATTTTCTGAAATCCCTTTGTCAGTTAAGCCATATCAGCATCCTCACCACTTGAGTCATTTTTGTTTCTCTTGAGGACCGGGTTCTTCTCCCTTTTAGGATCTCTTTTCTCATTGTCCTTCTTCTTCTTCTTCTTCTTCTTCTTCTTCTTCTTCTTCTTCTTCTTCTTCTTCTTCTTCTTCTTCTTCTTCTTCTTCTTCTTCTTCTTCATTTCATAAGTTTTCAAATTGCCAATGAGTTCATTAATGGTCAGCTTCTGCAGGTCCTTTGCCTCCGTGGTAGCATTTACTTTACTTTCCCAGGATCCAGGTAATATGCTGAGTATTTTTCTGACAAGCTTATTTCTTGGAATGATTTCTCCCAGAGAATAAAGCTCATTGATGATAGAAGTGAAGCGAGTGTGCATGTCCTGAATGGACTCATTGTCTTTCATCCCGAATAGCTCATACTCAGTGGTTAGCATATCAATCTTTGACTGTTTGACTTGAGTAGTACCTTCGTGTGCTGTTTGGAGAGCTTCCCAGATCTCCTTGGTAGAAATCCGGTTGTATTCGTCTAGTTTAATACAACAGACGAGGATCTTTTTGGCTCGAAAGTTCTTCTCTATAGCCTTTCTATCAGCATCGTTGTCTTCTTTCCTAGTCTTGGGAACTGACACTTCTGGTTCTCCAATGGTCTTCATAGGAATAAAAGGACCATCGCATATGACATCCCAAAGTTCTAAGTCTTAAGCCATGATAAAATCATGCATCCTTGTCTTCCACCATCCATAGTATTGGCCATTAAATCGTGGTAGTCTGTAGGTTGATTGACCTTCTTCAAAGTTTGGTGAAGTATCCATGAGGATCCTTTCTAGGTGTTAGCCTAATAGAAAGAACCTTCTCTGATACCAATTGATAGAAACTAAGGGTCCGCCAAACTATATAGAGAACCAGGTTCTCTATCAGTTTCCAAAGAACGCATGCACACAACAGTAAGTAAATGACACAGTAGAGTTTTATGTGGAAAACTCTCAACTCACGGGATTAAAAACCACGACCTACCCTTGTAGGATTTCAACTTCACTACTAAGCAAACTTCATATTACAAACTGTTGTAACCTAGGAATTAACCTCTTAATCCCTCACTAACTTGTAATAACTCTATTACAAGCCACTTTGTAATAACTCTATTACAAAGACTTAAAACTCGACTAACTCTAGCCAAGACACAAAAATATGGTTTATGATTTTACAAGGGTTTCCTACACAATACTTCTAACTAAGCTAAGTAGGAATTGCAAGTAAATTGCTTTGACAAAGATGCTACACAACTAAGGACATATGATGACTCAATGCAGGAAACTAGTCCTTCGTTATGTTGCTCTTTGTTCTTGACGCCTTGAATGTCACTTGCAAGTTGGCAATACACTTGAGAGAAAGCTTGATGAAATCTAGAGTGTGCAAGTGTTGTTTTGCCTTTCCTTCATGTTAATATTGCATAAGTAACATCACTTGAATGATGTAAGTATGTTTGGTACAAAGGCATTCCCCATAAAGTGATTGTTCCACTGTTTGCACTATTGCGTGCGTGCAGAGGAACAGTTGCAGTCACTTTACAGCTGTGGAGAGTTGACTGGTACTGTCAACAAGGGAACTAATATCGATCTGTTCCCTCTGTTGTTTCTTGGACTATGAAAGTTGGAGCATGTCCCAGACTTGAGACTTGTTGATCTTTGAGCACTCAGAGGATGTAGAACAGGTTCCCCGTTTGGTTCTTAACATTAAGTTTGTCAGATCATCAAAGTATAGCAGGACACATAACTTATCATAGCACATGTATTAGTCACGTGTCTTTCTGTTATGTGATAGCTGTTAGTGAGTTGTCCAATAGTTAGTTGCTTAACTTAAATTAGTTGGCTAGTTAGGTGTATAAATGTACCGACTATTATCTTAAATAGATCAGTGATTTCATTTATTCTTCAGCTAACTCTCTCTCTCTCAAACTTCCGCCATTGCTACACCTCCAAATCTCATGCATTTCAGCATGGTATCAGAGCGGGAGATACTAGAATCTCACACTGTGACACACTCAAACTGATTGCTGGCCTAAATCTCTCAATTTTGTTTGATCAATTACTAATATTGACAAGATAATGGGAGAGAATACAATTAACCACACACATCCCCTGTTTTTGGGTTATTCAGACACTCCGAGCGCTGTATCGATTTCGGTAAAGCTCACTGGGTCAGAAAACTATGGGTTATGGAGTAGGTCAATGTGGATTGCATTTTTGGGGAAGAGGAAGCTAGGGTTTGTGACCGGCACATGCAAAAAAGAATCCTACAAGATAGCTGATTTACAGGAGCGATGGGAGACCTGTAATGCTATTATTTTGTCATTGATCATGAATAATGTATGTGAGGAGCTTCTTGGTGGCATTGTGTATGCATCAGATGCTCATCTCATTTGGGAAGAGCTACGAGAGAGATTCGATAAGGTCAATTGAGTAAGAATGTTTCAATTGCATCGTGAAATTGCAACCCTCTCACAAGGAACCAGCTCAATTTCAATCTATTTCACAAAATTAAAGGAACTTTGGCATGGGCATGATGTGTTATTCCCTTTCTCTAATTATGAATGCCCTAAGTTTAAGAAAAATATGGAAAAACTACATCAACAACGAGTTATGAAATTCCTCAGCAGATTAAATGAGTCATTATGATCAGGCGATAAGACCAATTCTCATGAAGACAACTGTACCAACACTAAATCGGGCCTATGCATTGATTGTACAAGATGAAAGTCAGTAGAGTGTGGGTGCTAATGTTGTGACTGACAGAGGTGATCCTTCCTTGGCTATGCAAGCAACGGGCAGGGGACAAGGATTTCGAGGCAAAAGTCAATTTCTGCAATGTGAGCACTGCCAGATGAAAGGTCACACCAAGGAGAATTGTTACAAAATCATTGGATATCAATTAGATTTTGTTCCAAAGAAGAAGCAGGGTGCATGAAACTCTAACAACTGGAGAAATTCTGGTAATGGGAATCAGAATCATGGTGGAGATAATTGGAAAAGAGAACCCCTTGCAGTTGTGAACCAAGCAGATGTTAGATCATGCTCTCAAGTAGATGTACATGGACATAAAACCACTAAGAACAATCGATACTACTTCACTGATGCACAATACAATCAAATTCTGAATTTACTAAACAAAGATTCTGGTGACCACCAGGCTAACATGGCAGGTAATGTTACTTGCTTAATATCTAATTCCAACCAAAAAGAAGAGGAAAGGATTGTTGACTCAGGAGCAACTCATCATATTGCCTCTAAATTAGAGTTATTAACTAACACTAGAGCTACAGACGAATCTAACAATGATAAAGTACATCTACCTACAGAGGGAAGGGCTGATATCACACATAGTAGTGCGCATTTGCTGGATAAAGAAATAATGAATATGTCTTTTATGTACCCGATTTTAGGCTTAACCTATTATCAGCCTCAAAGCTCACAAGAGCCTCAAAGGGGATTGGTAAAGAGAGAAGTGGATTATAGTCTGTGTTATGCAATAACTCTGCCCAAGGGAGACAATTTTGCTGAGAAAGCCAAAGCAACAGTTTTGATGGGATACTCAGAAACACATAAGGGATATATACTTCTAGATTTACAAACTACACATTTCTTTACTAGCAGGGATGTTGTTTTCTGTGAGTCTGAGTTTCCTTTTGCCAAAGGAAGCACCAATATGAGCAAGGAATCTGAATTGCCTATGTCTTCTCCTTTACATATGAAGATACCAAATTACAGTAGTACTCCTTGTGGGTCAAACTTACCAGAAATAATAGCAGGTGTAGATCACACAGATGCTGAAGATGATATACAACATGAAGTTGAGGGGGCATGTTCTGATAGTTCTGATGTAGCAGGTTTTCAGGATGCAAAAGCTCAAAAGTCCTAATGTAGAATTCCAGGATGTAGAGGCTCAGAATGAGTTGCACAATGAAATGCAGTAATCACTTGAAGAAGAAAATGAAAATGTACCACCAAACACATGCAGAAAAGCTTCAAGACAGACTTAGGAGCCACTGTGGATAAAAGATTACATCACTACAAAAAAGCTGCTACCTGCAATTATCCAATTTCAAACTATTTGTCTTATGACAAAACATCCTCCAATTATTAGTGTTATTTGGCTAAGTTCTCTCAACAGGTTGAGCCACAGTCCTTCAAAGAATCTGTCAAGGACAGTAGGTAGATTGAGGCTATGAAGCAGGAGATAAAGGCTTTGGAAGACAACAAAAATAGTGCATAGTTGATTTACCAGAGGGTAAAAATACAATAGGCTCAAAATGGTATATAAGATTAAGTATAAAGCAGATGGAGACATAGATAGATATAAGGTAAGGCTAGTGACAAAGGGGTATAGTCAAAGAGAAGGATTAGACTATCATGACACTTTCTCTCTGGTGGCAAAGATGGTCACCGTGAGGTCAATCATAGCACTTATTGCTTCAAAACGGTGGAACCTGTTCCAACTGGATGTATACAGTGCCTTCTTGCAAGGTGATTTGTATGAGGAAGTTTATACAGAATTGCTTGAGGGATTTAGCTAACAAGGTGACAGGAAAGTTTGCAAGTTAATGAAGTCCTTATATGGTCTTAAACAAGCCTCAAGACAGTGGAACATCAAGTTAACAGAAGCATTCCTAAGTGCGGGTTTTGTTCAAAGCAATAATGACTATTCCTTATATTCACTCTGAGGAGCCAGGATGAAGTAGTGATTGTCCTAGTCTATGTGGATTATTTTCTTATCACAGGAAGCAGTGCAAGCTTGATTAAACATGACAAGGATATCATACACCAGGAGTTCAAAGTCAAGGACTTAGGAGAACTTAAGTACTTCTTGGGAATTGAAGTACTAAGATCCAAGGCTAGCATTTTGTTGAACCAAAGGAAGTATGTACTGCAGCTCATCTCAGAGATGGGGTTAAGTAGGGCTAAGCCTGCTTGCACACCCTTGGAGGCTAAAGTAAAACTCACTTAAGTGGAATATGATCAGGCAAATGGAGTCAAGGATGATTCCCTATTGCAGGACATCAGTTCCTATTAAAGTCTAGTTAGCAAGTTGCTGTACGTCACCATTACAAGACCTGGCATAATTTATGTTGTGCAAATCTTAAGTCAGTTCATGCAAAAACCCAAGAAGTCTCATTGAGATGCTGCAGTTAGAGTTGTAAGGTACTTGAAGGGTGAACCATGACAGGGAATCTTAATGGCTTTTGATCACACAGGGGAGTTAACATGCTGGTATGATTCAGACTAGGCAGTATGTCCCAACACAAGAAGGTCAGTTACTGGTTATGTGATAAAGTTTGGGAGTTCCTCGGTGTCTTGGAAATCAAAGAAACATAAAATTGTGTTAAGGAGCTTAGCTGAAGCTGAGCATAGAAGCATGGCTGCTGCAACTGCTAAGATCATATGGTTACTTGGTTTGTTTAAAGAGTTGGGTGTGAAGATTACACAACCAGTGACAATCCTTAGTGATAGTAAGTCTACTATTCAGATTGTAGCAAATCCCATACTACATAAACAGACAAAACACATAGAAATCCATTGCCATTTCATTAGAGACAAGATCAAAGAAGGGGTAGTTCAAGCAATACATGTGAATACAAAGGAGCAACAGGCTGATTTGCTAACCAAAGGCTTAGGAACTGCTCAACATGTGCATCTACTCGACAAGCTTGGAGTGCTTAACATTCTATACCCTCCAGCTTGAGGGGGCATATTGTGATGTAAATTAAATAGCACATGTATTAGTCACATGTCTTTCTGTTATGTGAAAGTTGTTAGTGAGTTGTCCAATAGTTAGTTGCTTAACTTAAATTAGTTGGCTAGTTAGGTGTATAAATGTACCGACTATTATGTTCAATAGAACAGTGATTTCATTTCTTCTTCAGCTAACTCTCCCTCTCTCAAACTTCCGCCATTGCTACACCTCCAAATCTCTTTCATTTCAGCTGCAACTCTTTCTCAAACAATATGGATTACTGCTTGTGCACATTACAAAGCGATCAATATTTGCGCTTTTATATTTGGCCAACAAATGTTTGTTTGCAATTGATTTTATGTGTTAATCGTTACTTTTTCCTTGATTATTTTTTTAATTATTGAAATCTGTTTTTCAATTTGTTAATTAAGTTGAAAGATTAGTAGTCATGGCGCTGCAATCAGTAATATAATGAGTACTCCTTGAATAGATAAAATAAACTTACTAACTCGTAGAGATATGAATACACCAGGTGAATTCTGAAGAACGACTAGAAAGTACTGATCACTGTAATTTCTTGTACTAATCACCGTAATTAATGGCCAAAACCTGTATTCCCTGGAAAGTTAAATGGACTTTAGGTTGAATGATTAAGAACCTCCTTAAAAAGAGAATCACATGTATTTAGAGGCAGGGGCAGAGCCACAGTGTTGGATGCAAGTATCTTAAACAATTCGTTGAAGGATTGTAACATCGAACCCATAAATTTTAAATCCTAACTCCGTATTTATTTACTGGAAAACCAATAGCACATAGATATTGTAGCAGAGAATGATGGTATCCTTCTCGAAGGCAGCTGACAAAAGCAACAATAAGTTTAATTTGTATCCTCAGCTAAAAGCCAAACAAAGTTGCTTATAAAGTTAACTTTTTAGCCAAAATTGCAAATATCATACAGCGCTCCTTGAACTATGTAATGAGTACTGTTTGACAATTTGAAATTTAATTCGCCGTACTGTATTTTCGTGCATCTAAAGAATTCATAAAAACTAGGAATTACAATGTCTAATTCAGTTTAATTTAATGATACATTCGGTTTTAATTGTGCAAGTGCCCCTCCTTAGTTACCTGGCATCTTAATTAGTACTCCCTCCGTCTCATATTAATAGTCATGGTTACTAAAAATACTTGTCTCAAATTATTTGTCATTTTAGAAGTTTAAGACAAAATTGATTATTTTACCCTTGTTTACCTTTAGTAATAATTGTTCTTGAAGATAGAGATAACACATAAATAGAATAAATATTCAATGAAGAGAGATTGTATCTTAAGACATAAATAAGTGTAGAATAGTCTAATCCTTTTCCTAATTAATATTTTTTAAGGGGCGTGTAAAAGAGAAACACGACACAATATGAGACGGAGGGAGTAAGTCTTAACTAATTCCGGTTAGAGTTTGTTTGCCGAGTTAACAAAGCAACTGTATAATCTTTTTCCTAGAGCTTAAGTGTTGATTGTCTTCATTAATGTTAAATATAAAAGCTTATTTCTACTTAATTATGTAGTGACTGGATAATGTTTTTCCCCAATTTTAAAGCGTACAACAGCAAAATAGTAAATTCAAGTTGGTACTTGAAATTTAATGGATTCCATCTCATACAATCACAATAAAATTAAAGCGCACTTAGCACTTAAGCGTACCATGCAAGGCTTAATTCCAATATTAGCAATATCTTTAAATAAAACATAGCATTCAGCATGTAAATTTAGATGTATTCTTAGTACATATTTGACAATAACCAATTTCACCGTTAACATAGAAAATGTAAATTCCCCTAATTCCAAACTACAAACACATATTTCAAACTTGCACATCATCTCCCACATACGTACAAGGAATATCCTCTAGATTGATATAAATAAATTTACTATTAAAATATAGATAGAATAAACTATTATCATCATCCCAAATCAAAATTTTCTTTTTAAGAACCGCTAAATTTATTATTCAAAATTCAATGTAGTCTTTCCGTATGATTCACCTCAAAAACTATATTTCTCAAAATCTTTTAATTACTTCCATATTAGTTAAACTCTTGCACTTCTCCATGCACATATACATGCACTATATATACCCCTACGTAAAATTAAACCTTATATTTTTCAACTAAGAAAATAAATACATACTTAGCCCACAGAATTTTAAAGAAAAACCTTCCAATGGCTTATTCTACTAATTCTAAAACCTTTCATTTTTCATGGAATTTCATGTGCTTGATTCTTACCCTTTCTCTTGTTCTTGGCTATGGTGCTGCAGTGAGAACAATGGCGACAACGACGACGACGAAAGAGGAAGCTTCTGGAATGTTCTCAGAGCCTGTGAAAAACTTATATGATGAAAAGAAAGAATTTCTGAAAGGTAATTGGTTCAATATGCTACCAAAAGGTGTTCCTATTCCTCCTTCTGCACCATCCAAAAGGCACAATTATTATGTAAACTCTTACCCTTAAAGTTCATGAAATGCATAGGAATTATCTTATTATATTATAATTTGATTGAGATGATACATCTCATATGATGTAATATTGATTATTATGGATTGATTGAATAGCATATCTGATTTATAGTTATTGAACAAATTAAGAAGCTTATCAACTTAATTTAGCAATTGCTATTATAATTTAGTTCTTATTGTATGCATATGAACTTCAAATAAGAAAATCAATATTTGTGTTTTCATTTCCCCCTTGATTTTCTTTGAAATGTGACGAATCCATTGCTCACTTAGCCTTATGAGTATTTAGATTTGCCCTTAAGTTTATAAATGTATACACTTCAATAAAAACCAAATAGACTATTTAGTACTATACTCAAAGAAGAAGAATGAATCATCGTTTGTAAATACAAACAATTTCAAAGATTTCGAAAAACTAAAAATCTTATTAAAAACATTAGACCATGATCTAAAATTTGATAAGTTATTGTAAACATTAGACAATAATAATATTTTGCATGTAAGATTGATGAATATATGAGCAAATATTAGAGCGGAGTTTAACGTTGTCCAGAAGGGCGATTTCCCAATGGCTATAGTTGCACAACTTTTAAAAATAGGGATAAAATCCAAATGCTGGCCTAATTAAAGGGGACATTTGTGTGAATCGGCCTAAAATGATACAGGATCAGATCAAATTTATAGAGAACTATTAATTATAAGCAACTCCTATTTTCTGTAATTACTGCTCGCTAGTACCAAAAATAGCAAAGATGATAGGTAATCAAGGGTCAAATTGTTAGCTGTTGACGTAGTTTATTTCCTGAAAATAAAGTTTACATGTAAAATAAAATTAATAGCCTAAGAACGGGTGAAAATCAATTACATCCCTCAAGTTTGCTTTAAAAAGCAAACTCATCCTCCAGCTTTGAACAATTATCATTCTGCTCCTTATATCAAAGGTACTTCTTAAAATGCCTATTTTACCTTCTAGAATTTTTATCTCTTATTTTTATTCTTTATTATAATATGATATTTTTTATTTTAATTTATGTTATTGACTTACCTATAGATAAATTAAAAAAGCTTTTTCGAAACATAAAAAAAGTGAGAAGCAGTAGTCAATCATATAAGTTAATGTCCTTCAATAATAAAATAAATGAGAAAAATAAAAAATATATTAATAAATAATTCACTCGTAGTAATTTTATAAATAGCAATCAAAACTCAATATATTTAAAAACTTGAGAATAAAGAGAGTAAAATTTATAAATTATACCGTATAGGTAATAAAAAAATAATGGACGAAAAATAGAGGTAATTCTTTTTGATAAATTTGCAAAAATTATCTATTTAAAGTTTACATGAACTTTAATTATAATTTATAAAAAATCTACTGATATCAATCTAATATACATATAGAAAATAATAAAAATAGTGAATCTTAAATCACAAGCATACATCGACATACATTATATGCATTTTAGTATACGTAATATTTATATAATAATAATAATAATAATAATAATAATAATAATAATAATAATAATAATAATAAAAGGTAGCAATACATTTTGTGATAATTCATAGTATGATTATTTTATTTATAATGTTAGTGAAATTAGATTAAATTATATAATAACACATAATAATTTTTAACTTTTGAATAAATACATGCATTAAAAAATATCTAATTAATATAAAAAGGTATTACATATATGGAGAGTTGATATGTCGAGGGTGAAATAGACATTGTGTAGAATGAAAGGATGAAACCGACAATTTTTCAAAGGCCAAATACATATACCGCCCCTTAAACTTGGCACCAATTTCTATTTAAACACTTTAACTAAGGCCAATACCTATTATACATTTTAACTTAATGCAATATGTACCTATTAAATACCTCGCACTCACCCAGTGTAAAAAGGTAAGTGCGTGGTGTTCACTTTCAGATAATGTGGTGCAACATCGAATTAAAGAGTGACACGTGGTTGTGCCCCTTTTTTTTTTCTTTATTTAAGGTTAAATAATCCAAATTGGAAAATATTTAAAAAAATATTTAAAACTTTACTCCCCCACCCACCTACCAAACTCATCTTTTCCGGATAGCCATTTCTTTTCCCCTCTCCTTTATGAAGCTATTTGCTTCTTCCCTGCCCATTCATATTTTTTCACCTCTCTCTAGCTATGTCCAAACAAAAAGCATGTTGTAGTCTTCTTGGTTGAAAAATCTCCATGTTTGTAGCTGTACATCTTCGCCGTTAAATTCCACATCTGGACGGAGAATTTCGATGCCGGCGAAATTGTTGGATTGAACTCCATGTTTGTAGCTTCAAAATTAATTCATATTTTTGATGTCTGACATTGCTGGATTTTTCTTATTGAGTTTTATCGGTGTAAAATCAGATCAATTTTACAGAGTTGATATTTGAAATTGCTGCGCTTTTCTTGCTGGGTTTCTCTTTGCAAAATCTACTCGAGTTTGCTTGATTATTTTCTGAAATTGCTGAG